CACACACACACGGGCACACACACACGGGCACACACACACACGGGCACACACGGGCACACACACAGTCCAAGATTTTTATAAAATTGAGTTTCTGTTTGTGGGGACCGACATAATGTCCCCACGTGGTCAAAATAAGAGGTTTTTTATCATGTGGGGACATTTGGTCCCTATAATGTAATATAAACATAACCCACACAGACATAGAGATATGTGGAATATTTCCAAAACTCAGCCCATTTTTCGTTGTTTTTGAGGTGAGACCACCAGTGACCTAAAGTCAGGCTTCTTCTTCATATGTCACAGTACTGGGAACCAAAACCCACTCACTCCTCATGTAAAAGAATGACGACTTTTCCTTTCATTTCCAAAATTACTGAAGACCACAGATATCTCCTTGAAAACCTATCCCATGGATTCAGCAAGTCTTCAAAATTTGCTTCATATATCATATTTGGATACAACCATCAACATATATGCATTCATAAATAGTATACTCAACAACATTATTAAACAGCTATCTGAATATTTGGAGTATTAAATGAATCTGAATAAATAGAAGAATAGCTGTAGAATGGCTTTGGGTAGAAGTGACTGATCAAATGTATTAAATATCATCTCTCTTAACAGTCAGATTTTAGCTCAAACAAGCTATTTGACTGATGGTGCTATTTGTACCGATTTTAATGAATGTACAAATGCTGAGCGCACAGCTTGCTACACAAAACGGTGTTCTAAACTAAAAGATGAGCTTGATAGATTATGTATCGATGTCCGGCTGGGCATTTAGATGGAAGTGTTTCCATTCGTTCTTCCTGTTTCCTGACGGACCCATAGCGTCACTGGTGTGAGTATGGATATCTCTCAAACGCCTGGCATCCGGTATCAAGTTGATGTACTGCCCCTATTGTACCATCCAATGCTGCTCTAAATTTAAACCGGTATCAGGAGGTCTTTGGATATTGGATTGCAACCCGAACAGTAGATGTGCTGTTACGCAAGTCACTCATGGAAGATGACAGGGTGCTGGCAAGCCAAACACCTCATAATGGGCACCCAAGCAGCCACTGTCACTACGGGCACACCACTGCTCACATATGCCAGCAGTGCCACCCATAATCACAGCACATACACCTCCCACACTCCTTCAGTTGGAGATCCACATCTCCCATACTCAGAACTTTGGAGATCCACATCTCCCATACTCAGAACTTTGGATATCCATATCTCCCACACACAGAACCATGTACACTGTGGGCTTACCTTTCAGAGGATGGCCATTAGATTCCAGCACCATGGCCTCGGCGATTGCCTTGGTTCGGGAGTAGTGGTCTATGTGCTGAGATTGGGAAGAGAAACCAGTGTCAGTTGCATGTTTGACGGTAATTCACTACCTTTTATGGAGAAAGAGCCGAGTTTGCTGCGGTAATGCTAAAGTCTCGCAAGCTAACTCGGCAGGCGGATCCTGTTAAGAGTCCAGGTCATGGGATTCTGTGCGTCCCGGGCAACGTGCGTCCCGGGCAACGTGCGTCCAGGGCAACATGCGTCCAGGGCAACGTGCGTCCAGGGCAACGTGCCTCCAGGGCAACGTGCGTCCCGGGCAACGTGCGTCCAGGGAAACGTGCGTCCAGGGCACCGTGCGTCCAGGGCACCGTGCGTCCAGACGTACCACACACTCCAATCACAGCATTTCATATGAACACATGTAGCAGGAACTTATCAAATCTTAGTAGACCATGTTTTAAGCGAATGGCCTTTGGTTAAAATGCTGTTAAAGCTGTTAAAAAGTTTGTGTCCTATGTACACTATTCGACTGTTGCACCAGTTACATATTCAGTTGTCCAATATATGATATTTAACATTTTTGATTGTTTATAAACATTTCCGCCTATATTCGTGTAGTAATTTATAAAGTGTAATGCCAAAAATGCTGGGTGTTTCCACAGTTTTGGCCACCAGTGTATCATATGCCTGTTTGGAATGAAATATTGTAATATGGTCTAATTCATAAGAGAATTTTTTATTTAAGATTATCTAATTTATAAGACAAATTTTCGATTTATGATTTGAACAAGTAAAATGGCGTACATCAGAATACAGGAATTTTTAGGTTATTGTTCGGGTAGTTCTGTTTATGAACAGCAATTCAAAAAATAGAATATTATTGTGGCTTTTTGAAACGTAACTCAGGAGGTTTCTGGATATGCAATATCACCAGTTCAACTAGAAACATATATTACAGGAGGAACATTCCATATAAGAAAATGGTGTCAATATTAGTACACATTCCCTGTCGGAATCATCATCATTTCTCTTTTATTTTATGGGATGCCCACACAGTTTTTGTTATGGAAAAATGAATATTCTAGACATCCAAACAAGGGTGATTTATTTTTGAAGGGGACTGAGACAAAAAATTAAATAAACTGGGTATAGGACCGCCTATGCATCAGACTTACCATGTCCAAGGGTACATACGGCACAGAGTCTTCATCGCCCTCCTCTATTGGCTGTCCTGCAAAGGCTACATTCACTGTGCTGGTGTACACCAGCCTGGAGACTCCCCGCTGCAAGCAAGCTGCAAGAAATAGACATAGGTCAACACATCACTGCACACAAGCTGCCTCACATCTCTGCACAGGCAAACACATGCTGCCTCACATCTCTCCACAGGCAAACACAAGCTGCCTCACATCTCTCCACAGGCAAACACAAGCTGCCTCACATCTCTCCACAGGCAAACACAAGCTGCCTCACATCTCTGCACAAGCAAACACAAGCTGCATCACATCTCTGCACAAGCAAACACAAGCTGCCTCATGTCTCTGCACAAGCAAACACAGGCTACCTCATGTCTCTGCACAGGCAAACACAAGCTGCCTCACATCTCTGCACAAGCAAACACAAGCTGCCTCATATCTCAGTAAAGGCAAACACAAGCTCACATATCTCTGCACAAATGAGAGCCAACTAATATTTATGTACAGGCTAACACAGGCCAGTTTCCATGTCTGCACAGACAAACATAAGCTACCTTACATCTGTATAGGCAAAAACAAGCTAATTCACAACACACAGACAAAGGAGAGCAAATGTATATTTCTGCACATACCAACACAGGCCAGTTCAGATCTCTACAAAGGGAAACACAGCCTACCTCGCATTTCTACACAGGCAAACACAGCCTCCCTCGCATTTCTACACAGGCAAACACAGCCTCCCTCGCATTTCTACAAAGGCAAACACAGCCTCCCTCGCATTTCTACACAAGCAAATCCAGACAACCTCACATTTCTACACAGGCAAACACAAGGAAACTGACATCTCTGCAAAAGGTATTCCTGAATAAAGCACTACGATAACAATCCATATTTACTACGAGAAATAAATACCCTTGATGACATTGCTTGTCCCACCAACATTGATAGACTCAATTTGCTCCTTCTTCAGCTGCAGAACACAGAAAAGAAATTTGTAGAGGACATCATACACTTGGGACATCATTAATGTAAAGATGTACCATGAATAATGTGTGAGCACTTGAGCAACGACATGAAATCCTTTATCACATCATTTTTATCACAATAATGTCAATTCATGCTGTAATTATATTAACCAACATTATGCAGAACCTGAGCTAACAGCTGAATTCTTTAGTGAAAACACGGTGCCTAACAGACAAGGAGGAGAAGGATTCAGTAATATCATCTTTAGGCGGCTTTATTGCTCATGTCACAGGTGACGGGCCTCATTGTTACATGTCATATTATTATTAGCGAAGGTTCCACCGTGACCTTGTACTAACTAAATGCCAGTGAAGGTGAACAGGGCGGGGATGGATTACTATACACCATCTGTCGTCATTAACACATAACAGATGAGGAAATTCCTTGATTATTCCCTGTCCAGTTCACCTGCTCAGGTCCCGACATTCCGTAGGAAGCTGCGTGGAAGATGCAGTCGACGGCCTGGCACACTTCGATCAGAGAATCAAAGTCCCGTACGTCTCCCTGTGAAAAATAAGAGGTTTCACATCTTTGGCCCTTAAAGACAGGAAGTTTAAATCTTGCTGTCTTCACGTTTCCCACCCTGTTCAGGTTTTAGGGTCAATACTCAACACCAAGTCAACAGGACTGTGTGTGTGGATTCCTCTGTTCTGTGTTTTTCTCCATTCGCTACCCCTGTGTACTCTGCCGGTTTGCTTCTGACGAGACTTTGCTTAAGCAGGCTGATCGTATCGGACCTAAAGGCTTTTCCTTATTGGCTTTGGAGCCGAAAAGAGTCGCCATGAGACAGGAAATGGGCCGCAGAGAACAGGAAATGGGCCGCAGAGAACAGGAAATGGGCCACAGAGAACAGGAAATGGGCCGCAGAGAACAGGAAATGGGCCGCAGCGAACAGGAAATGGGCCGCTGCCATTTGCGTGCCAGTGACTGAGTTACCTGGTGAAAAACAACGCCTTGGGGAGTGTCCCAGCGTGGTTTGACAATGTCCAGCAGGATGACAGAGTATCCAGCTCCGGCCAGGGCTCGACCCAACCTGTGGCCGAAATACCCGGCTCCTCCCGTCACCAGGACCTTGGATGCCACCCCCCGCCTGATTTCGCTGCCTGTTGTGCCGCTTGCCGCACAGGTCCGCTTCTGGGGCCCGCCTGCTACATTTCCGTTGACTTTGTACTGAATGCCGTTAGCCCAGAGTACGTGCCCGTTAGCCTGACTCGTACACGGACTTCCATTCTGCTCAAGCGCACAGGGGCTCGGCGGTACGTGGGCCCTGCTCTCCTCATGCATCCTCTGTGCAGGTCCTGCAACTGCAGAGTTAGACCACAATAAATCAATACCGTGCACCAGAACAAAAACATAGGCAAATGTAGGATTTTCTTCCAAGGGTGCAAGATAAGAGTGATCTACCAGTCATTCACTCAGATCTGTGCTGTGCAAAGACTTTTTGAGGACGGGGGGGTACCTCAGTACTTCAAAAAGTGGGACACTTTCAGTTATTTGGCAAAAAGGGGTCGAAATTCTGCCACCCATAACCCCCCCCCCTCCCCCCCATCCTCAAGTGCCTGACCCATATAAATACATTTGTATCAAAAATATTGAATACATTTTCAATTCAATGCAATGCAGTTCAATTTATTGTCATTAACACGATGTGCAGGCACGCGTAAATGAAAAGACAATTGCGGCTCAATAAATTATTATTACACATTGATATGTTTAACAAAAGGCGCATTTTCAAATGTAATTTTACAATGCAATTTCATTTTATTGAGCTTAATATGCTCAAGTGGCATTTTTACCTGAATGGTAGAGAGTGCAATTGCATCCTCTGCACCCCCGCTATAAAATTGCTTGTGTTTACTGCCGCTTTGATTCTATATGAATAGTTTTGTCTTTACCGAACATAAAGTCACAGAAAAAACGTCTGCAATAAAAAAATCTAAAATTTAAACATTTATTGAACACTTAGTTACATATGTCTATGTAATTTATTATATTAGAAAAGCAATTAATAAACACAGACTCGTATTTTAATTGTGCAGTGAACTAGCGTCTGTAAAAATGTAATTATATTAACATAATATAAATTATATAAAGAATACAGTACAATTTATCTATAATTAAAATAATGCTAAACTATTTATATTGCTACAGAGAATAATTAATTCTTTTATGAACACATAATTAGTTTGATTCAAACGTGCATCATTTGCACGTACTCCGGCTCAGAGATTGTTCTCAGCTTGCGTTTGAGACGGAATAATATATCTCTAATCCGTATGGTCAGCACTCTCGTCCCACTATTAGCCGTCGGGTAATCCTTGGGCAATATTATTAATTCATAAATAGGCACCACACTTTTCCCACATTAATACATCACGTGTGAAATTAAGTATAGTCTTTGCTATAAATTACAAGCCCGCTTTAGCTATTCATAATTCAACTTACAATAAATGCAGTAAACAAATATTAATAATTATACGATTTCTTGGCCTATTTTGATATTATCAAAAACAATTTTTTGCACATCTTCCAATTGCGAAATATATACATATAACAATAAATTACAGGAGAAATTACTGCGCATTTCACTTCCATACATGTCATACGTTACTGCGAATAACCCAAGAGAAAAATCCAGATTAAAACGTACATTCTCGAAGAATTGCTATTCAGTCGCTCAGTTCGAAAATATTTGACATTAACTATATACCAATAATCTTCGGCTTCATCAATTTAAATTCTCTTCTAGGATGATCATTTTAATGTAACTAACTTTTTATTAGGCTGTTAAATGATAGATTATAACAGAATTTTAAATTGTAAAATATGTTTTTTAGAATTAAGGTAGCCTAGTATTCATTTTAAAATGTGGCAGCAATTACAGTAGTCAACGTTTTTAGTTAAATTAAACATTTCACTGTATATGTGATCGACACAATGTCTGCAGTAACGAATGCATCAGAAGTTCCATTCAATTACTCATTTGCTTCAATATATTAAGATTCTTAATATAACATGACAGTTAATACGTTACCCTCCTGCGTCCTTCTACAAATTCACTTCAGACTCACTCCGTCGGATAGCCTTGAATACCCACGCTTTCGGACTCGTCTTCCGAAGGTATCTCCGATGCTGCTCGCTACCTGTCAATCACCTGTAGCTTGGCGTTCTCTTTTAGAACTCCCTTACCGTATATCATTGAGAAGCCACGCATCTCACGTATCGTTAGTGTAGCTTGTCACTCATCTTTCCTTCCTGTCCTAATTTCAGCACAATAAATCAACGTGTTTGAGTACATTTGTGACATTAGATGATCATTCTAAAGAGTCAGACCTAGTGGATTGTGGAAAAATAGTCATATTAAAATTTAAAGGTAATTTGTAGTAGGCCTACCGATCGTCAATTAAGTCAGATGCCTATTGTAACAACACAAAAGCATTAGGCTATAAAAGGGCTGTAAAGCTGTGCGATACATTGGTATTTCTGGCGGCTCAAAATAATGTAACTGTTACATTTGTCTCCCGATTCCCAATATTTTGAAATGGATGTAGATTACAACCATCAGTGCCTGTAATAATATGAGAATTCATTAAGTGTTTAAATGGAAGACAGCATTTATTAATAATTAGGAGCAATATAAGAATATGGACATACTGAGCCAGCTTACAGACACTCACTCTTTGTTCCAGCTGTTTATGAATGATATGGTGAATAAATGCCCCATTTCTGAATTATTCTCATGACGTGCGTTTCGCTCTTTCATCAGGGCAGCCAGGTGTACGAGACGCTCTGCGCACACAGCTCATGTTCTGTTTTATTATTTCAGGTATGGAGAAGTTTTTGTTTCAATTACGTAAAACCTGCTGGAAGTGTTTTTGCTGTATTCGAATGCAAGCTGAACTGTGGCACTGTCTGTTTTGTCTAGCAAAAGAAGCGAGTTATTGATTAATATGAACCTATTAAATATGTTAGACATGTATTAATTATAAAAGGTTATGGATAATTATATATTTTTTATGTATGTGTAGGTAAATATGTATGTTAATGTTTGCATTTGTTATATAAGAATTACAAGTGATTTATTTAACTGATCAATTTATAATTTTTTTTTGTTTGTACCTGAAATTATTTAACCAGATTGTTTTTTCTTATTTTTTTATGTTAAAAGTGCAAAAAGGTAAGAGAATAAAAGCTCTCCTAAGTTGGCCGGAGGGGAGCCAGGTGTACGAGACGCTCTGCTCACGCAGCTCGTGTTTCGTTTTATTATTTCAGTGCTTGAGCAATAAAACATCTGAGATTCAGACCCGAGTCCAGTCCCTTACGTACGCCAGAACACGAGGGGATAAGTGGCATTTGGCTTCTGGTTAACCAGTTTCTGCGCTGGAGGCTTTATGATCCCAGTTGACCAGCATTGCACCGTTGGTGTGCCACTGGTGTCTTTGTGGGTTTTCACATGCACCGTTTGTTTGTGTTTTCACGTTTAGGTTCCCAGGTTCCTGGTTCCTGTTTGGAGTCCGCCTTCTGCTTTACGCCTTCCTGGAGTCATCCATCCAGGCTGCAGCCCAAGCCACCCTTGTTCCCCATTTCCAGGACTGCTGGAACGGTTGGTCTCAGGGGCCAGAAGACCTGCCGTGACGGACGGGCAGCCCAGGATGAGGGGTTCTGTCGCGGACTTTGTCTGTGTGTGCTAGTAAACGTTTTTAATGTGTATGCTTCGAGTCCGAGTCGTGACAACAGTTGGGTATTGTATGTTGAATTTCCTTTTACTTTATTTGTAAAATCTTAGTTTTCCGGAGGTTTCTGGTCCTCTGTCATTCCTCGATTCTGTTTCGCCAGGACAATCTGTCTGTTAAAACAGAAGAATAAACTGTCAGTAGGTGCGGTTCTCAAAACTCTTTCCTGTCATTTTGTTGTTGCCCCAGATTGCGGTCAGTCACGACGGTGCATATTTCACATGCGAGAAGATGGTAAGCTTGTGTCAAATAACTCTGGGAACTCAAACATGGACAATATAAGTCCTCCACTATGATTTCTCTGATTAGCTCGATTCCTTGTTTCTATTGGTCGTGCGACACAATGCGTCACAGTGCGTCACAGTGCGTAGCAGTCAAAGTTAAAGAAAGCTGACCTTTGACCGCTTGCATTCACACGCTCGCCAGGCGGCATACTGTGGCACGTCTATCTTACCCTTGCGTTTGGCTCGGCGCAGCGCAAAACCGCCACGTAAGCCATATAAAATCATGGGTTTCAGAGAACACATGCTGTGTTCAGTTTCAAAGAAATAAAAGACTCATTTAGAATACATCTTTAAATCAACAAACAAACATTTTAGCTTTTATGTATTTTTGGCTTGAAATCACCGTTCTGTGCTTCTCATGGTTGAAGCTAGACAGTCCTCCTAGTGACATCACCACCGGGACAGTGACATAAGGACCAACCTGAACACCTCTGCTTGTGCGCGGAATTGCTTCACTTTGTCTATTTCCTCTGCCAGTTTCTTCAGATCGTCGCCTTCAAAAGCTGGAAGCGCTAAAAACTAACGACCAAAACAACAAATAAAATAATACATGTTTTGTAGTTTCAGTCAGTCAGGTTAACGCAACATAAATAGAGTCATTATTCCGGAACCTGCCACCTACTTCCTCGTTACTGTAGCGGTTCTGTAGCATTGTCTTGGCTGCCTGGATGTCACTGTTGCCATGATAACGGTGGAAACGGCCTCCTGTTTGCTGGGCAAGTCTCCTAAGAAACTCATTGGCTGTGCTGTCAGGATAATTATTGGGATACCAAAAATTAACACCATCAAGGAAAAGCATGCAGAGAGTAAACTGGGCGAAGTAGCAGTACCTGTCAGAGCAGAAAAGCGAGACCGTGTGGACGGCGAACCGTCTCCCCACAGTCCGACTCTCTACGTCCTCCAGAACCAGGCTGCAGCTGGAGTCGGGCTTTCCGTCACTCAGCAGGTAGCATCCCAGAAAATCTCCAAGGCCACTGGCCACCTTGGCCACATGGACAAAGGCCAGAGGTCAGTATGAGTACTGGAGGTGTTAGTATGCATTTAGAATCAATACCTCCAGAATAGTGATGAACAGCGATAATTCTGAATAGTAACTCAAACTGCTAATTATAACAAACATTGATGATTGTCAGGCTCCAGTATATATAAAACCAAAAACCATTCAAGCGATCTATTGATAACACTTTACTTGACGGGACACAAATACTTAGTAATAACTCAGTTACTACTGAAGTACAAATCATGAACAAAAATAGTCCGAGATAAA